AACTAGACTATAAATAGTCTGAGGACTGAGGGGTTGTATCTTCCAACAAGTACAACACCACAGTGTTGCTGTTTTCAGGTAGCCAGGAATTATCAAAAATGTATCGAGTCTTTGCTGCAGACAGTGTCTAGTTACACAAAAATAATGTAAAAACTAAGATCAGTTACCTTCTTCCAAAGAGATGCCCACAGCTGAGAGACGACAGCCGGTGAGCACCCGAGTTTGACCATGGCTCAAAACAAATTGGGCAACTTTGTGACTGTCAGAAAACAGAAAAAACAAGCATTACCATTCCACAAAACTCACTGTCAGTTTTTCTTTTAGTGGTCGTGTGAACAGCGTCAAATATTAAAAAACCTTGCTGTAATCATTTGAGCATGCGCAGATTACTAAAGCTTTCATCCTACATGTGCGAGTAGTCGTAAAAACATGGGGAGCCACGTTAAATGTACAAGGGCCATTCAATTATGAGGGATGCAACTTGCTAATACACACATCGCACATGTATGCTAAAGATGTACATGGAGATGCACAGTCAAATATGCAGTTCCTTGGGTATATATCTCCAAGGCTGAGTGAAACATGGAGGAAAATTTAAGATTAACAGTTCAGTGAAACTGAAAATGGGACTATGCATGTATATTCCTTGAAAGCGTTGATAATCAAAATTTCCAAAGCACTACAATTGACACCGTGATATCTGCACCTGTTTCAGGATGGCACAAAAAAAATAACAAACAGTTCTGTATATGCTATAATAATTTCGGTAAGGAGGTCTAAGGAGAAATTATTGTAGAAAGTGTAAGTTCATTCTACGCTCTTGCTGGAGAATTTGAAGCTCATGTAATGCTATTGTAAGCATTCGTATGCACCACAGAGAGTTAGTTCGTTTAACTTTCAAAATACTAGAGCTAGACAGCTATTCAGCGAAAAAGAAAGAAACATCCTAACAGCCCAGGAACCAAACTTACATCATCATCCTTTTCGGGTGATTTTAACGGTGACTTTGAAATTTTCACCTTGGAAGTGTTTTTAGAGGACGGTTTTGACGCCTTGTTTTGAAACTCGTCTGGAGAATTCACCGCTAAAACCCCTAACACTTGTACACTTCTGGCAACCGCTGGGGTGGAATTCTGCATTGATGATTGTAATTCTGTATCTTCTGGGACATTATTTTCATCGTTTGATGGTTGTATGCCTTGACTTTCAGCGCCATCGTCTCCACCGTTATCGATTTCCATCTCTTGATCTTCATCATCGGGTTCGGTCAAATCGACCACATTGCTACCTGTATTTATTACGATTTCTTGGGCAAATTCTTCAACTTCCACATCTTCAGGATAATGGATAGTAGCCATCAGACTTTCCTGATCTTTTATAAACTGTTATCGTTACATATAATTCCGATGATGTATTCCATTTCAAACACTCTCCCTCCTGAATGATTCACAAATACGCGCCATTTTCTATTCCTTTGCGCATGTCCATTTGATAGTCGACCCAGTCCCTTTGCTCATTTCGTCTGACCGCTGGTTCATGGGAGGAAAGGAGACTAACTCAACAAAATAGAAGGAGGGGGGACCAGGGGGGACTCCGATACAAAAAGGACCTGGGTGCTAGAAGAAAATTCTGAAAAGAACCCCTGTTTTTTTGGGCGTGGCTTAAACTTTTTTTCACCCCTAGA